AAGCCATCCAGGGACGATGAAAGCCCTGAGATATCTCTCTCTCTTTCCACAGATCAACAAAATGCAGATCCTTCTTAAATACCTGATCCTGTTTTGCTTCTTCGACACTACTGCTGCTGGTTTTGATCCTGGTGGCACTCCTCCTGGCAGAACAGGGGGGTCTCTGTCTTGCTTTACAGGAATGCTGCTGCTTTTACGCCAACAAGTCCAGCATCGTTTGTGACAACTTGCTGACAATCCTTTATGGTCTGCCTGGAATGGTCTCCTCCCTTTTCTGCTCCCTCTACTCGGTCCTTTCCTTGGCCTTTTAGTTGTTTGCTTACTGAGACCTGTTATATTTAATAGGCTCATGACATTCCTCAAACAACAAATTAACTCGCTAACTATGCAGCCCATACAGGTCCACTATACTAAATTAGAGATGGAGGACCAACATCCCTACACTGATCTCACCTGAGGTGCTGAATCGGTTAGCCAAAGACAGGTAAGAGAGTCTGATGAACCAAATAACTGTTCAGTCCTTCCACCCAAGACAGGAGGCCCATCATAGCTATGGGGCTCTCCAACGATGGGTAAGGATGGATGTATGGTTCCATAAACGGCTCCAACCTAAGACAGGCACGATTCCCCCAGGCCTTTTCCTCATCTCTCAAATTAAAACAAAAAAGGGGGACATGTGGGAAACTGCACATCAGTGAGTCCGAGAGGCCATTTTCATGAGTCTCTTACTATCACTATTTTAGGTCTCAGAAAGCAAACAATTACACAATGCCAAAGGCCACAATTGGCTAACTTATGATTGGCATATAGAGCAGGCAATTTACCACTCACCAAAGTGTGTATAACCATGATCCCTGGCCCACAATAAATGGATGATCGTGAAGAGCAGTAACACTGTGTTGTCTCTGTGCTGTTTGTCCCGTCTCTCACTCCTTCCCTCAGGAAACCTATTTGACTGTCCTGCAGGCTGGGACAATTAACAAGTGCTTAAATGGCTACAAAATATGACCTTATCTCAAATAGCTGCAACTTAACTTGTTTATTTGTGTGTGTGTGTTTGCGTGTGTATTTTATGTCCATAGATTTAATGTGAGACATCCTACATTAACCTGGTTTTAATTTGTGTCTTTACCTCTTGTGGTTCTGTGGCTTTGGATAAGTTTGTTAACATCTTTCGGTTCCATTGTCATCGTATATAATAACAACAACAAAATGGTTGTATTTCCTCCAAAGGGTTTATATGACCGTTCCAATGACATGACATGCATTACCAATTCATGGAAGAGCACCAATTCATGGAAAAGCGTCCATAGAGAACCTGCCCCATAGTAAGCACTCAACAAGTGAAAGCTGAGACGACAGTGATAACAAGATGGCGGTTTCCACCCTGTGCCCTTGATGTATGTGGTCAAAATGCTGGGGTGAGTAGAAGTCCTGAACTGGCTAAGCATTTGATAATGGGCACATAGTTTATTTACCCCAGCCAGAGAAGAGGCTGCATAGTGGGTTCTATGGGAAGAACAGTAGGATCAGGGGGGATAAAAACCCTAGGTCACTGGGAGCTTAAGCGGGTATTATTTAAATTAAGCTACAAAAACTATGGGAAAGCCACAGAAAGGGTGAGCTCAACAAAGGTTTGCATTGTGAAGTCAGCTGATGATGAACTAAGTCAGGAAGCATTTTATACATACCCCGATCTGACTATGATTGACAGATGAGTGTTCCCTGTTAAAGCTAAGAGTTTGTTTGCTTCTTTTTTTTTTCCTGTGGGTTTTTTTTTTTTTTTTTGGTTATAGAGTATGTGCTCTGGCAAAACAAAAAGGGGAGTGGAAATTGAGAAATCACACCTGGAGCGATGGTCACACCACAGTCCTTTCTGCTCCAGTCACCTGGAGCAGAATTATTTAACTTTACTTATCAATTTCTTTTTTTTAATTTGATCAGAGAGGGATGGAGTGAGGGAGGGGTAAGTGAAGAAGCAATCTTTCAGGTCCAGGATTTGAACCGTGGTCAGCCATGTGCGAGTCTAGCACCTTTAACCATCATGCTATCTGCTGACCCCTCCTCTTGGGATTAAAGGCAAGCCTGCACACAAGCCGTTATGATTTTCAGGAAGTGTCTGAACTTGAACCACTCAGTTGACCACGTGGAACCCAGCTGCATTAATCCTCACACTACCTGCTCGCCTGCTAAAACTTATTTTTTAAAGTAGATTTTTGGCTTCCCCCTTCCATTCCCCAGTGCTAATCGGGACAGAATCCTTCCAGGCATCTCGATCTCTGCCTCTGCTGCCCCTTCTGGGTTCACTGTTAATGCTGTGTACCTCTCCCCAGCAAGGGCTCCCCATTTCCAGACCCCAGTGCTAGTCAGGTAGGCAAAGTCTCTCTCTCCTTTTCTGTCCATTCAAACTTTTTTTTTTCTAACAAAAACAAAAACAAAAACCAGCTTTCTGTCTGCTTTGTGCATTTCACTTTCTAATTGTCTCTTCTTCCTTCATCTAGGACAGAATGCTTCCAGGCCTCTCTACCTCTACCTCTGCTGCCCTTTAGGCACCACATTTGTGCACCTTATGCTTTTCCATTTTTAACCCAATTTCATTTTCTGCAATGTTATTTCTAGGTTATTTTGGTCTTCTTTTTGTTCTAGTTCTTTCCTTCTTTTTCCTTTGCTTTACCTTCCTATTTCTGTTTCCTACTTTCTTTTTCTTTTACTTTACATTCCTATTTTATTGCTCAGCCCTTACCCACTATCTCGAGATGTCTAGTTGCACAGTAGCTAAACATCTGAACATTGTGAGTTTTAGAGAATTCTTTGCCTCTCAATGAACTTGTTGTAAAAAGAGTGAAACTCCCCTTCATATATCGTATTTTTAAACTCCTCATTGTGATTCCCACACTGGAGGACACAGTAGAAGGAAGAAAATGGCACCAAATTATTTCACAGGAATGGAAACACAGGAGCTCACAGTTACAGAATCCTTCTTCAACAAATCAGTGACAAGTGAATACATTACCGAATAACTAAAAATCAGAGAAGAGCGTCAAGGATGA